CACATGCTTCTCTTCACCTCTGGAGAGAGGTTTGTCGCAGATTTTGTGCATGGCTAGTTCTTCAGGACATGTGTGGACCATCTGTACCCACTTACAGGAGTGGCTTCTCCTGATTTCCTCTGCCTGCCACCCAAGCTTCCAACCATGACCGATAACCACGTCTATGTGGAGTTTCTCCGGGGGAAACGCCAACCAGTCGAGGGGGTCTGTGGAGTTTGACATTCTTCCATCTGCTTCCTTAATATTAATATCACATTTAAAAGCTTCTGCTTTGTCTTTTTCCTTACATTTACATTCAAATGGAGGAGCAAACAAAGTGACTTTTACATTGGGATTTAATGAAAACTGTTTGGCGAGCACTCTGTTTATGGTGGACAAACCACCCTTTGCCGAACACCATTCAGTTGCTAGAAGAGTGACATGTAATTTCTTGCCGTGCTCATGTAGTGAATCTACGTCCACTGAGGATTGAATGTTTCGATTTGACAGAGGCATTTCCTGCAAAACCGCAACAGACAACGGTTAGACTTTGACTCCGAATTTTCCACGAAGGACTGCTTTTATAAAAAGAAAGGTGCCACAATACCAAGACGGTTACAATTCAATAGCGTTGGTTGAAAATAGAACGAAATAGCCAGTCATAAGACTGAAAGACCAACCAAAGGAATAACAGAGGTAAGAATTTAAGGAAGGAGGGGCTGAAGAAAAAAACAACCATATTTATTAAATGAATAAACAAGTAAGAAACCTGAGCTCTTTGAATTTCTGACAAGGGAAGAACGACCCCAGATGGATGAGATGCCTGCAAGAGGGAAAAAACACCTAGCTTGAGAACCTCACAGGTAACAATTTAAAAATCTTGTTAATAAGCTGACGTGTAATGCTATCATCTTGGGCTACATCTACGACAGTAAGGTTGGCATCAGTAGTATATTAGCTCTGGGCTAAAAGTACATTTGATCAACAAATCCATAAACCGAAAAATGTCACCTACTTGAGATGCTAATACTATGGTCACGTTGCACAAAAGTTCACGACTTTGGTCGAAAAACTTCACTCCTGGAACACTCTCACTTCCTAAGCAAACTTCACCACCTGTGTCAAAAACTTTGTCCTCGTGGAATCTGTTCAAAACGAAATGAATTTAAATGAGACAAATTCAACGTACACTACACCAGCCGAGTCTTCGTTCAGAAAAGCACATGCTTTGAAATCTTTTCTCACAATCCAAAATGACAGCACATTTAACGAGAGCCCTACTGAATCTTTAAAAACGAGCATTTGAAGATAATCACGCCCGAACAAAACCAACTTGTATACCTCCATAGTCCAATTGATTAATAAGAAACCTAGAAAAGCAGTGGCGAAAAATGGTCAACTGACAATCGAACAATGTTCAATTTTACAATGGAATGAATAAATTATTTCTATGTAAAACTACCATGACTGTATCTAGAAGTATTCAACTAAATCCTATGTACTTGATGGGCCAAAAATAAACTATACGATATTATACCTCACAAATTGTAAAGCGTTTTTCTCGTCTGTGCCTTGGGGTATGATTGCCTGAGAAAGAGACACCAAAATTTTCTCCTCTTCACAAACTGGTTTACGAGAGCTGCCTTCGCCTTTGTAGGGCACGACACACTCTGATATTCGCCGGTTCACATCATATTGCAGGCTTGGAGGATAGCAGAAAAGTTTGAGTCCAAAATGTCCGGGAACAGAGGTCTTACACAAGCACGTAGAAAATTGGGCAAGGTGAGGCCTAGACCTACTGGGAAGTTTTCCTATAAACTCAGTGAGGCCCGAAGCAGATTGTAAAAGTGCTCTGATCAACTTGATTGGACGGAATCTATCAAATATAAGGAAAAACCAAATACACCTTAAGCAACCCAACGGAAATGACTAACAGCCATTGCACAGTAACCTTGAGTCTACGTATGCAAGTGATCATTTCAATTTTTGAATCTATGTTTAATTAAAAGAAATACATGCGTGTATGACTGTACACTAAAATACTGTTAAATCTCATCTACGTCTTGCGTACTATTTTCCAATTAAAGCCGGCAAGAAATACTTACCCAGAGAAATGCCTAACTTTGAATTGCACTTTCCCATCTACAAGACGTGCAGGTTCATCTAATTGACCTGTGATGTCTTTCCAGTCATGTGGTTCAACTAGTGATTCACAGTGTAATATCCTCAGTTCACCAGGACATAACTCTGCCAACTCTTGTTTTCCTTTACGGAGGGTGAGAGGAATCCTGATTGTTACAGGCGCGATGAGAGTCACATTTTGAGAGCCTGAAATGTAAAGAACTGGACCGACAAGTCCTCCCTCTCCTTTTAGCTCACTGCTTGGAAATTCTTGTACCTTGAGATCAAAAGCAAAACAAGTTACTCCCAGTTCGAGTTTAACCTCTAAGCCCTCTGTCTGTGCACTGTTCTTAAACTTTTGCAAATTTAGAAAGAGGTGTCTTCTTTTGCAGTTTGTTTAAAAGATTCATAATAAAAAATAATTTAATTTGGATTTTGCATGATATTATAAATTATCAAACTTTATGTCTGTGTTATCTTCAGCTTTGGCAGATAAGTCAGACCTCGGTTTTGCTAATTCATCATAATATCATGCTCATCTTCTTTCACTAATTGCATTAACTGCTAACCAATTCGAACCACAAAACCAACTTACCTGACAGGAACGATTTCAATTTGAAATTTATATTGAAGCAAAACAAAAAAAAATGTTCTGTTTGTTGCTTAAAGTTAGGTCTCGAAAATCTGGTTTTTAAAAAGGGTATTTCCAGGATCCATGAGTACATTCAGGGACAGTAGAACCACAATTGTTGCAAAGTTACCAAAACGGTTTAATAGAACAATACTACTTGTATCTTCTCACACATGTAACTTAAGCACATGAACAACTGTCCTGTAATTAAGCTTACAATTTTTTAATATTTCTCTTTCCATCAATGTTGCCACTAAGTTAAAGAGGTGTACTGTGAGTAACTGAGGCCACAGGGTGTACTCTTATAACACCTCTGCTTTATCTTCGTGTTTTTGACAATCCCTTCACGCCAATCTCATAACACTTATAACACTTAAACTGGAAAATAAAAAATTTGAACTCCTACATGTATATAATTATACAGTTCCACGTACCTTGATTGTCACACAGAAATCTTGATCAAGAGGAACACAGCTCTGAGGAATTTGAACACTGACATCAGGAAAGTCAGGCACAATACAGGTCAGTTCCGGACCTATTGCAGTACCTCTTGAAAAAATGAAAGACTTAGGACGCCAGATTGCAGCAAATGAAGAAACTCCTGATTTTGCACAAACAGCTTGTGCAAATGGGAAAAGCCACCTGGGAACTGTTGAAGTTTCTGCATGAGAATAAAAATAATGGTTGAATTTCCTTCCTTCAACTGTGTTTTGAAGTCTTCACACAATAAAGTTGCCACCAACAGATGCCATTATAATAGTTATGCTTCAAAGAATAAAGTTTACAACAACATGGTGATTAGGTAAAATTTATATTTTAGTGATTAAAATGCACTTTGGAATCTGGTAACATTTATGCAATAATTACATGTACTAGCTGCTTAGCTGCAACTACATGGAAAACCAAAATAACATGTTTTAAAAACCATTGGATCTGGACATGAGGTGTCAAGAAGCGTATTTTGATATTGTTAGTGCAGTACGTAGGTCATGCATTATAAGGATCAGTGCTAGTATCTGAGTCAGTGCACACCTACTCCTCCTCTCCTAAGCCAACAACAATCAGCTAATAAGTTTGGGTTACAAGTTGGGATTAATTTTGGGCTAGGAGAGGGGGAGGTGCACAATTGCTCAGATACTGACATTGATGCCAGTGAGGAAGGGAGCCTGAGAACATCATTCATTAATTCGTTCACACTTACATTTCATAACAACATTACAGTACCTGATCCATGCCATGTATTCTCTGTCTTCAATTCCTTCCATTCATTGTTCACTTGGTCAGTTAGTTGCTTGATAACCACCTCATACCCCTCCAAATATGGGGCACTGTGCAACAAAGCTACATTAAAACTGATTCCTTCAAAATTTTCCCTGTACTCCAGATTTGATGGGCCATCATGAGATAGCTCAATAACACTGCTAACCAATATCTCATCACTGGCAACGGGTGGGGAGAGGCTCTTGGGGTTCCACAATTGGCATCTACATGTAAATGGCACGGGTTGTTGGACAGCTCCACTGCAAAGTTTGATGGAGGCACCAGCTTTTCTCAGGTGCCATGTGTCTTCCTTACCTCCAATTTTTCCTCTGAAATACAAAAGAATATCAATCAAGGGCAAGAGAATTTTTCCCAAGTGAAGTAAGCAATGACAAGGGTTTTTGAAATGCAAGTTGCAATTACTTGCAGTTTGAAAAGTTATTCAGGTAATGACACTCAACCTTAAAACATAAACTACTGGTAACTGTTCTTTTTGCCTAACTGTTTCTTTTTTCAGTCAGTAATTAAAGTATGAACAAAATAAAAATAGCAAAAAAATTTAAAGTAGCTACTCCCAATAATAAATTAAAATTCTTGCTTTGGTTTACTTAATTGATATATGGACATCTTAAAGTTTTTTCCTGCAAAAACTCAATTTCAACAGCAAAACAAAATATATCGGTCTAAGATTGTTAAGTCATATAATATTTTTTCAAGCCTGTACAAATACATGTATGTTATTGATCCAGTACTGAGCTGGAGTTTAAAATGTTGTAAAAGTTGTCTTTAATTTTTCTGAAATTTTATTTGATTAATCTTAAAACAATCTGTTAAATCTGATTGACTGTTGTATTTTAGTAAAGCTTTCTCATTGTCTGAGAAATTTATACAGTTTAGAGCAAGAAATGGTGCATTTCATCAATAAATCACACCAGTGAAAGCCAATCAGATTGTAAGGATCACCAGTGATTTGAACAGGGATGTGATAAATTTTATAATAGCATTAGATTTATTAAGCATGAGCCTTATTTACTAAAGATTAAAAGAAAAGAAAAGAGAATAACTGTAATTTACAAAAAGGTCTGGAGGGTTGCTCCATGGTCAGAGCACTTTGTCAGAAGTTACTATTATATTAGACCACATCTCCTGGCAATTCCAACCCTGCCCAAGCAACGTAGTCATTGCAGACAAAATACACCTTTTGATCAGAGTCTTTTGACCATCTTCAGTGTCCACTGTTGCATCTTCTTCATCTGTCAAATTTAAAGTATTAATTTGTTTTCAGTACACAATAAAACAGACATTTTATTACCACTCAATTCCCAATACCTGTTCAACAAAATTGTTCAACATAGGGCCTTTCCACACTGGCGAAAAAGTTGTTTATTATGAAAAATTTTCTGTCATCACCAACATTTTATTAGTGTGGATGGTTTGTGCTGAATTGACAAATTTTGGCCAAAGTGGACAAACTTATATAAGCACTATTGACAAAATATGAATCATTATTAATTGGGAAGCTGAACATCAATAACTGAGAGACCTGGACTGAGAACAGGCAGGGTGCTTATCAGTATTTTCCCTCCCTTAAGACTGAGCAATTTGTTCAGCTTACAAGTCATGAGACTTGAGCAAAGCTTATGGCTATTAACCACGCTGATGCATTTTAATTGCGAAATTACTTTTATTAGAATAAATTACACTTAGGTATCTGTGCACGTGTTATTAGTAATCTGGCAAGCTAGCAAGAAAAAATTTTATTTCTAGCTTTGAGAATAAAGTTTTAGTTTCTTTCCCACCCATACCATTGACAGTTTTGATTGTATCTTGAATCTCATTCATGTTCATAATTTATCCTTGATTATTGGACCATTGGTTTAGTGTATTCATCAAATATTTTTTATGTCATAGTCTAAGGTGCTATTTACGTAGGATATATATGTTTAAGAAACTAGCTGTGTGGTCTCAAAAACAGGCCTCTGTCTGTTGTAGTGTTTAGAAATGATTCAAGGATAAATCCTAAAATTGGAGGTGAAATCCTTCGGAAAATTAGATCAGTCAATGGCAGAATTTTGACGACTTTGGAAATTTTTTCATGCAGATGTGACAAAATTTGTTCTTTCATTTTGTCAGGACAATTTTAGTTTTAACTGTGGGTATAGAAAAGCCCGTAATTACATAATATAGAGTTTGATACAACATAAATTAAATGCAATGGAAGAACCAATCATGCTCTCTTTTGCAATTAAAGGCTCAGTTTGCTATTTGTGCTAGAGAAGTAAACTAGCCCTGTAGTAGGGGTGGATCAGAGCCTCTCTATTGTGTTCTTAGGTTAGGCTAAGTTGCTTCATGCTCATCAAGTGGCTTTGGAGTATAAATGGAAACTGGTTACTTGTCAGGGAAGCCTGCTAAATTATTGGATTGGGGGAGGGGTCAATTACCCTGCAATGGACTCTACTCTCTTTAAAGAGGAATTAAAAAATTATTAAATTAATCTCTTCATAAGGTTTCAGGATAATTAATAAGCCACAACCCAGTGATCATTCAGTCTGAGGAATTTTTGATACACTCAAAAATGATAATAACTATGTATAAATACATGATAAACTCTTGAAAATTGGTTCTTGTGTTTGACAAAAGCCCTTTTTCAGAGGTGTGTACAATCACATACAATGTACAGTGTACAGTTGAACCCTGTTAAAACTCCATACATAACAGTACTTTCTTAAATTCTTCCTTTGTTCAGGAAATTGTCTTACACATTGTCAAACTTAATCTTCTCTCTTTTCTTGTAGAGTATAACAAAGCATTGAAAAGCAAGAGAAGAACTAAAGGTATCTGACTAGTGCAGTTGCATACATCTTATAAATCTGATTCTGCTCAGCAATAAATTAATAAACACAGAACATGTACATGTCTTCAATTTGGGTTATATACTTAAGTATGCTAGCCAGAAAAGATCTAGAGATAATAAATGCAACTTAACAAAACTGGGAACCATATCAATCCCATATGTCAGTCTAACCATCCCATATCTTACCCATATATGGGCCATGTTAACCCTTTAACTCCCATGAGTGACCAA